CTCCTCCTCCTCCTCCTCCTCCTCCTCCTCCTCTTCCTCTTCCTCTTCCTCCTAATTTGCATCTATGTGTAGAAACATTTAACTAAGCATTGCCAAAGGGAACGTACCATTTTTCTGTTAACATTGGGTTAAGCATGTATATAACCCAAACATAGGATTATGCTGTTATACCTTTATGCCATGTAGGTATTTTTAGGAACACAAGGGAAATCTATTGCAAGCTTTTATAAGACTTTGAGAGAAAGTACGACTTATTGGTGATTTCTCAAAATGAAAACTGACAGGTTTTTAAGGTCTTTCTAGTACAGTTGTCAATGAAAAATATGTGGTAAGTCATGCAGTTTATCTAACCAAATTGTAATGGAATGGCACAATCACTTTTTTCAACTTTTCCCTATTTCATGCAAAAATCTTGTGAGTAACAGGCATTGAAAATGTCATTTTTCTAACTAACCTGAAAGAACATCTTAAAAAAAATATATAGATATCAGAGAATTAATTTATAACATGTATGGTGAATAATGTTAAAGATTAGAGCATGTGACAGTAGTCATCTTCAGGATTCAATATTATGTATAACAATTATTGAATAAAAAAAGATTTTCTTCTGAACTCAAAACAGTGAAAAGGCAATAGGTTTTCCATTTTATGGAAACTCTCTTTTGGGAGATTATGTAGACTATGTAGCTTCACTTTGTTCACCTTGTAGAATGGCTAGGCTGAGACTTTCCCCTTTTTTCAATAGTTTAAGTTTCAAGAAAAAAGACATAGGGAAAATAAATTCATTAAAAGGTTATACAAAGAGTTTAAGAATGAAACTTACTTGTTTTGCTCTTTACAGGTTCGGTACCAAGGTTGGACTCGGCGTTGGAGTAGTATATGCCACAGTAGACCAGGGCATATGGGGCAGCAGTAGACAAGCTGCTGCAGCCTATGACAGATTGTACGATATTATGCCTGGGACGAAAAATGTGTCCGAAAAGGTGAGTTTAAGTGTTGTAAGTAGATTTGTATAAAAGAATGTACTAGTAGATTTTTAATTCTTCATATCTGGAAGCATGAAACATTGGATATCATTTTATATTTGTGCAGTACATATAAAAACTTGAATTTTATACAAGTACGTACAGCAGTTAAACAAGGAAACATGATTTTTAAAATTCGTTATTAAAAGTCCCTTAGAACATGAAATAAAATAGATCGGAAAGCAAATAACTGACTTTATTCTAACTCTGTTGACTATGTATTAGATTAAATACATACAGTAGATATAGATGTTTATTTATTTAGTTTTTATGTATTTATATTTGCCTACATATATAGTTATATATATTGTGGGAGGGGGCAGGGGTACACATTTCAAAATGTCATAATATATGAAAATGAAGCCAGACTGAGAATTACACAAGTTTTATGAATATTTAAGTTTTATTTAATTTTTTCTGAGCATGACAATTAATGTAGCTTCATTACATTGATAACTAGCATATTTGATTTTACCACCATTATCACTCTGCAAACAAATACCTCCTCACTATGAGCGATACCCACCTCCCCAGACTTTAGTGCCCATAGCAGTTACAGATGCTACGGTATTTGCACTAAAGGGCTGTTCATAGACAAAGGAATGCTTCTGTGCTTATGTAGCTTGCTAGTGGAGGCAAGTTTTCAAAATCATTTTCTTGTTACAAGTTTATGTAAATCATAACAAATCATAGCATTATAAATGTGCAGCAATGCTATATATAAATTTACAGTAGACACTTATACATTTTGATAGGCATGCACTATTACAAAAGGTCTTTCAAAGGTAAAGGAAAAAGTTCTAAGAACTGACTCAATATATTTATAGGCTGTATAATATCTGATATTTTGAAAAAAAAATCCTATCCATTCTGAGGAAATTAACAGTTCATCTCACTCTCTTTTATTTGTCATTTATTTAATGTTTATCTTCCTTGTGTGTGTTAATGCACATCTGCATACAATATATGCATAGGTATAGATATAGTTGGCATACTTGTCACTTATCACCAAATTGAAGTTTTTATATATTATCTTCATATATTTATGAACTATTAAAGTGACTTTCAAATTGGGCTACTAAGGATGCCTCGTCTATGTGTGTATATGCGTGGGTATGGAGAACCTGAAGTTGTTAAACATTTTATAAAAAATAATTGTTTTTACATTTTGTGTACATTTTGACCCCCTTCTGAAGCAAAATACCAAAGCCTGTCAATATGTGTTAGTCATGCATTGGTATTTTTTTATGTATATATATATTTTTTTAATGGTAATATACACATATTTAGTTGAAAGACAATTGCAGTAAAGGAAGAAAAATACTGGAGTAGTCATACTGATAACAAGAACAATCTATTGTTATTCAAAACCTTGTCTAATTACCAGAACAGACGGAATGTATATACGTGAAGTCCTGTTTTCCTCTGCGACACTTCTCTTTCACCATTAGCATGAATTATTAGCTGTTGGGAGGTTTTTCATCAGCCATTTCCCCCAAAAATTTTTACTGAGATTGAACCACATGCCTTGCTTGATCATGGAAGGATCTCCAGGTGGTTTTTGTTAAGGAACTGCCCTAGGTGGGTGTATAAGCAGTTATCCAGTTTTAACATGATTGTTTCTGAGAAAATCCCAAGGCATTTTAACAATATTTGTCTAAATTGAATTACCCCTGTTAACCAACACCACACAGGAGGATCCACCCTCTATTACAGGTCATGTGACCTCTCCTTGCCAGTTCATAGATGTTTTGTTTATCATATCTAAGAAGTAAATAAAGTTTGAGAATCAGACCATGAAACATGAAGTAAAGAGTACTGTTATGAATAAACATATATCTATATCAAAATTTGAATGAAGTTCTGGCAAGAAGAAAAAAAAAACTAATTTTATTAGTTTGATTAACAACCACTACTGCTGCGATTACAAACAAACACGAAATTGATTTAGCTGCCATTCACAGATGTTTAAAGCATGAAGCATTTTCATGTTACAATAAAATATCCAGCAATAATTGATACTTGTGTTGAAAGAAGGGGGAAATGCTGCCTCACCTCCATAGGTGTTGCCCTTTTGATAAACAAACAATTCTAGGAAATCACATTAAAAAGATATCCCAGTACAAAGTCAATGATAATAACTACTGCATGCTTTGCTATCACTTATTTGAAGAAAATGAAAGATCAAACAACTTCCGTAGTTTCCAAAAATAGGTGTTAGTACACTTATTGATTATTTATATTCAACCATTTACTCTTGTTACAAACAACCTGTGATTCTCACCTTATTCATAAAAATTATATTTGCTCTGTTTTCATTGAAGTGGTTGCCAGGTGTACAAAAGTGGGGCCCAGTTAGCGCACTGAAATATGATTCCGCAACTGTACATCACAAATTGTAGATTTTGTAAGCATAAATGGGACATTGATGAAAAGCATTAGAAAATCTTTTTATTTATTTGTGGCAATATGGATGAAACACATGTGTTAACCAAATAACTACAGGTGTCCCACGTATGAGACACCCAGAAAAAAAATTGCTGGCTGTCCCGCCTGTGTGACGCTGTATTGAGGCTTGCGCTCCGATGCAGCAGCAGGCCACAGTGCGCAGGCAGAGTCCGGGCCAGCCCCCCGCACTGATTTTTTAGCTGCCCAGAATCTTTTATTTTCGGCTTCAAAATATACCGGCGGTAATGGGTTAAGTTGTGATCAAAATGCCGTTTTCAGCATATTAGACTGGGAGCCCGCAGGGGTCAGGGTAACTGGGAAGGTAACAAAATTAGGAACCTACACTACTTACTACATTACTTACTTAGACAGATAGAGAAATGGACATCTGCCAGTCAGACATTGGTGGTATGTGGTCTACAGAGTCATGAAAAAGTACAGAAAAACTGAGTTCCATTAGCTTCATCAGCTAACAAGCCAAGTCATGGCAAAATGTGTCAAGTATGACGTATTGTATTAGAAATGACAAATGACAGATGTTTTCATTAGTAGGGTACCCTTGGCAGAGCCCGAAGTCTAGAACATAAAAGTCAAGATAGATCACCTCATGGGGTTATAGCTTACACCAACTTCAAATGATGCTGTGATGCCAGCACTATTAGAAAATACCAGTACCAGACATTTTCAGTGGTGGTGGCCTGCAACATACATCCCAAAGTGACTCCACCCTAAGCAAAGCTAGATCAGTTCATTGCATAATTGACTGAAACAACATGCAAAATGTTCAGTACAATGATGTAACTAAAAAATGACAAACGCCAGGCTTTTTCAGCGGTAGGGTCTCATCTGAGCGATGCAGACTAAACAGAGTTATCAGACCTGAAATGTATGGCGCTAAGGTTACTCTGTCACTAAGTAAGGCAATTGAAATAAAGTGAACCCTCGCTATAACGCGGTTCACCTTTCACGTTCTCGTTGCTTCATGGATTTGTATTGTGCATTGTGTTCTACATTCTGATTGGCTAATCAGTCTCTCTGCTTCTTCTCTACCTGTGTGTCAATAACGTTACGGTTTAATATGTACATGTATGTAAAACAACTTACCAAATTTAAGTTTGCAAATTTTCTCTAAAATCCATGAAGCCATCAGTTCGTATTGATGATTAAAATTATTATTTTACAGTACAATAGTTATATCTAAAAAATGTTTATACAATACTTTTATATGTTAAATAAGTGCTTGGGCCTGTAAGAACGTTTTGTTCTTTGGTTTCAATGTATTGTAGAGTATTTCATTGTATAATAATTATTAAAAAAAAAAAGGGTACTACTTCACAGATTTCGCCTACGAGGGTTCACTGTATCTATAAGGAATTCTTCATACTAATAATCTAGGATTGTAATAAGCTTATGACTTGGTATTTTAGTGGAATATATGAATATGTATAATCTGTGTATTAGTTTATGTCCACTGAAACTTTAATAAGGAATGTCTCTGTAAAGCTATTAAAACTTGTATAAGGAGTTCATCATATTGATAATGTAGGATTCTGATAAGCTTATGACTTGGTATATCAGTGGTATGATATGTGAATATGTATAATCTGTGAATTAGTTTATATCCATAGGTACCTAATGTTTATTGTTTTGAGAGAGAGATGAAATTCAATCCAACTTCTTGTTGAGAACAAAACTCAAAATAATTTCAGAAAAAAATAAAAAAATCAGTTGTTGACCCATTGGTGCTGAAACCAAAACTAAACTGTTCAGTTAATTTTGTTTACACTATTGTTGTTTTGTAAGTCACCAGGGAGTCTAGCTGCAACAAAAAATCAAAGAATAGGGGCAAATAGATTGGATGTAGTAGGCCTAGTAATTGGCTCCTTGGTGACTGGAGTTGTTTGAAGCCTTCTATGTGTAAAGCAAATTAGCAAAACAAAATCACAGAAAACAGTGCACATATAGATGGATTCCTGTTGTTAGTAGGTTAATGTTAGTATCATTTATGATAAAACAAATGATACAGACATGTTTCCTATAGTGGATTCCATACTTACTCTCATCCCATATTATATTACTGCAGAGGCCCATAGAAGTCACTTCAGTTTACATGCATCCCATTTCATTCCTTTGTTTTTTTTAATCACTAGTGGGTAGGAAGTGTCAGGAAGTAATTCTGGTACAGTTCAGAAAGTTTCTACTAACTATACTCCCCAAAATTACCCCTATTTCCCCATTACCTTATATCTGCTTGTTTCCCCTGAGGCAGTCATACAAGTGCCTCATAGCAACTCTATTGACCTGTGAACGAATGTTGAAAGTATGAAATAAGAATTCTCCTAGTGAATGTTCAGTGGCACAGTTGGCTAAGGCTTCTACTAATCTAATGTTTGGGAATTCCGTTCTCTCTGAAAGTGCGAGCGATTATGACACTGACTGTTCCTAGTTATTAAATGGGAAGTGGTAATCTGTAGAACCTGTAGGTTGAGGCTACATGTCACACGACATCTGTATACCTTACATTTACATAATATGTTATGGTATTTACATCCCCTACTAACACACCTATTTCTTCATACCAGTTGCATCCCATTTTTCACTTTTTTCCCTCCTCCTCCTGTTTCTTTCTACTCCTCCTCCTCTTTCACCTCCTTCTCTCTTCT